TTGAAAGGAAGTTTAGAAGGGATTCATTTCATCAAGTGGCAATGGGTTCTGCAGATGTCGGTGTATTGCATTTGGAGGATCGTTTAGACTTGCTCTGTGATGGCTGCATGAGTGTCACCTATTCTCTCCCTCGTTGAATAATTAGCAGATGCTGCGGCCATGGGCTTCTGTGAATGGGAATTCCAAATGATGTGGTGTACTGGTTTTTGTTGATGCTTATAGGTACTGTAAATACAAATTCAATTATATTGTTGGTTCTGAGCACAAGAAAAATAACTAGCAAGTCAGAAACCTTGAGATGGCACTTAATTGTACTTCCTAAAATGTTTTTCATAGGAGCTAATACGGAAGGATACATTGGACTGGAGGCTGCAAGTTCTGTTCAAAAATCCTTTTGGAACCTTCATATTCAAGAATAAGCCTCATGAAAAGGGACTGAGGAAATTAAATTTACTCAACTATTATAGGATCCTGTGTAACAGTTTAGTGAAAATTTAGTGTAGCATATAATCCTCAGGTCATTTGACAATACAGTGTTATGTACAGTACGTGCCAATTAAGAGTTAAATAGCAGCTTGTATAGCATATGGGTGATATTTCGTAATTTAAGAGGTCATGAATAGCTTTAAAAGAGAGGTAGGAGGATTAGACCTTAAACTGAATGTGTACTGTATCCTTAAACTGAATGTGTACTGTATCGGCATCATGAAGGATCCATACTGCTCAGCGTTTGCTTTTTCTGCCACATTATTGTAGATATAGACTGTTAAGAGAAGTGCTCAGTAGTTCTGCATGTTTCGATGACTTCTAATGCTAATGTTTAATTGCTTTAATGTGTGAAATGTGTATTTAAACTCTTAACAGTCCATTTAACTTTGATATTTTGGAGGGAAAGTTAAGCAATCTGACCAACTGTTTCTAAAAAAGCCTGCAGCAGTGATGTTGTGATATCTCTGTGGTGTTGCTCGTCTCTGTTAACTGGAGGTGGGCATGGCATCAGGTATGGCTTGGGAGTGCAAGGTAATCACTGTTTCTTCAGGACTAGTTATGCATGATTTTATAATAGAAAAAGGATGATTGCAGATAGATATCAGAAGGTTCTAGGAAGTGTTTTAACTTGAGCTATTGTGACTTTGAAGCTATACTCTGTTTTAAAACTTAAGGCCTAGAGGACTATATATGGGATAAACCCTTATTCCTTGACAAGGAATAGGTACAGATAAAAATGAAAGTAGATGGGTAGGTATACTGCTGTTAATAAGCATGTTGATCTTGCCTTCTGTGTAGGTGTGTACAGGACATAGGATTAAAATACTTAAAAAAAAGTGTTCAGATTATCAAAGTGCTGCTCAGAGCAGTTTTGCTTAATGGTGGGGGAAAGCCTGTGTAGGCTTTGAGTAGACAAGAAATGTACCGGAACCAAAATGTAAATGTACAAGGGGAAAAAAAGCAAAATAAAAAACCCTACCTCCCAGCTTGAACTGAACTCCGAAGTGGCAGAGCACAAATTTCTGTCAAAGTGCTTTTCAAGTCAAGTGGCAGTGTTTTTATCTTAGCCAGCAGATTTTTAAGATTTATTGAGTCTTGGAAGTTAAACAACCAACCTCAGGTGATGCAACATAGCAACAGTTTGGCATTTGCTGCTTAAATTTGTTGCTTGCTTTTTTGATTTTGTTTTTTAAATGGTGTTCCCACAACAAACAGTATTGAGAAATGTGACTTAATGAATGTGCACTATAGGTACTTAAAAATAGAAATTATCCCTGGAACTCTTAGATAAAACTGAAGGAACAAGTACAAAATGTGCCCTTGCACATAAGGAGACGGTTATGGGAAAACTGGAAGAAATTTCTGCTTGCCCGAACTGCTTCACCCATTTTCTCCACATTAGTTGATAGCAGAAGTGCTTGTTAAGGCACTGGAAAAGTGGACTTTGTCCTTGTCTGTCTCTTAAAGGCACTTAGTTCCTCTCTAGAAAGTACGTAGTTGGTAGTGGTTAAACCATGGAGGGAAAACTCTTGCTATTTGTGTACCCGATGAGGGAGTTTTCTGACTAGTTGTAAACTTTGTGAGTATTACTGTGACTTGTGCTGCCATTAAAAACAATTGAATTGTTTGCTTCTGGCATTTCTTCATAAAACCTATTATAAGTAACGCCCTCCCGCTTTTCCCTGAACTTGGTTCCAGGGAATGCTAGAGATTAGTGACTTGGCATAGTTTTAAGTCTGGATCCAAGCATGTTGAATAACTTTGTCTCACGGGAGAATTAAAAAAAATGCAGCAGATGGCAGCAATGATGCGCCAGACTTCTTGTCCTTAAGAACAATCTATCTGCAGGCACTTTGAGGGTTCACGTGTTGATGACCTGGGGGAGCAGAGTAGTCTTTGTCTTTTCTTACTTAACAATTTCAAAGCAGACTCGATGAGGGATGGGGTTGTATCCCTTCACCAATTCAGCAATCTTTTTTTTTTTTTTTTTTAATGGTCAGAGGATTAGTAGTGAATAGGAGGTTTCCTCCTGAAAGTTAGCCAGTGTATTTATATACACAAATCTGAGTCTGCCTATGGCATTTAAATATCTAGTAACCTGTGTTTAAGAATCCAAAGCACATTATTTTTTTTTGTGATGCATTTGTCATATGAGCAGAATACTTATCTGGGGAGGAAAACATATATTGGCAGCACTTTGCACTTTTATGTCACACAAAGTATTTATAAAGAGAAGTAGGATAAAAAATGAATCAACATAAACATTCTGATACCTTGCAAAAGCTTCGGAGAAGTGTTTCACGTTGTATAAGGAAGAGAGATTCACCTCTAGCCTATTTGACGCTGCTAAATGTGAACTCTACTACTGTTATTGCAGGAGCACTTCATAGTGGCTGAACAAGTGCAGACTGAAGTAAAATGTTTGACTTCTAGAGAGCTTCTGCATTTGCTCAGCACTACTTTGTGCTTGCAAGTTAATATCATGAGATTGTGAACTGTTTGGGATAACAAGAGCTTTCTTCGGATATTCTCTTCTACTTGATTTTAATCCCGCCGGCCTGATGACTGTGGTTCAGTGCAGCATAATTCCCTCCCCAACTTCAGATGACAACAGGAAACAGAAATGCTTGCTTCTCTTTTGGCTCGTTACTCTAGACAGATGTGAGCGTAGTTTACCAACTTTATATGAATGAGTAAAAGAGAAACTGGTGCTTGATTGATTTCTATGTCAGTAGTAGTGCTTTTTCTCTCAGAAGTGAAAGGGAATGAAAGGAAAAAGTGACTATGGGCTTCTCTGGTAAAGCTGATTTTTTAAATTTTTGTTTCTTGGAATTTTGAAAACGGAGCAGAAATCTTGCTGTGTGGTAGTGGGGACCATATGGACAACATAGATAAAACTTAAGCCTTATGTATAGGCTATGTGGTTTGCCATGAAAGCAGCTGTAAAATAAGTCACAATGAAAATCATGGGGAAAAAAAAAAGAAAAAAGTAACAATAGTGGAATATTAGGGTGTGGATCTTGGTGTTAAGCAGCCTTTAGCCTAGTGAGGTTTACAGTAGAAATTAAAATAGATCTCTTGTTAGTGGAAAGGCAGCTACTTTACTATTAGTGTTAGTACTTTTATACTGCTAAATGAATACAATGAACGCAAGTGGCCAGGCTAACTTAAAACTCTAGTTCAATTATATCTTAATTAAACTTGCTGTAAGGTGCACAACTAACTGAAAAATAGCACTCAGTTAAATGTACAGCTAAAAACACTTGAAATATACCCCTGTCTTGACTGCCCTTTGTGTTTTGAGTATGTCTTAAGTAACAGTAGAGTGGTGCTGTAGTGGTGCAGACTGCAAGATCTCTGAAGGATAGGGTCTGAGTTTGAAATGATAGCAATGGATTTTAGAGGAGGTATGAGAGTAAGGTTATGTAAAGGCAAATAAAAGCGAGTCTATTCAGAGCTGAAAAGATTGCTAGGTATTTTCAACTTTTTAATTGAGTTTTTACTTGTGAGGAAACAGACCCAGCAGCCTTAGAGGAGTAGTAGAAGTCTTCCAATATGTAAATATATATGTATAAAGATGTTCTAGCTGTCATAAGGTTATCAAAGTCTGTTTATGTAAAACAAAGAAAACTTCTACTGGGGACAGGCTTTTGCCAGAAGTAGCATTTAGTCCACCTACCTTTTAAAACCATCGATGAGTTCTTTTGTAAAAACACACACATATCTTTTGGAGGCTAACTATAATTAATCCTGCCACAGTTCTGTGAGATGACTACATAATCTTGAGGCCCCTTCTAGTGCTATAAGTCACTGGGGGATTATGTATTCTTTATTTTCATGCAGATAAATTAAAAAAAAAAAAAAAGACTTGGAACAGAATTAGCTTCTGATAACGTACGACTGTTCAATGGAATACATGAGGTCTTATCTATCTTTAGCCTGTTTTTCCTAAAGAAGTAATCTTGGTGTACATTCAGCTTTGGAGGAAGGGAGAAGGAGGAGAAAGTTGTCCAAAATGTGTTTCATCTAATAGATTCCACTAGTTTTAGTCTTCAAATGAGATTTAAATATGTGAAGTCAGAGTGCATTTATCCTTGTATAGAACTCAGGGGTTGTATTAAATGGGAAAGCAAGCAGATTTATGGCACACATGGCAATTGTGAAAGATATCATTTAAATATTCTAATGATTCAGATGAAGGAAGCTCTTCAGGAAATTAAACAATGGAGGTTTGTAAGACTGGATAATACTTGTAAACAGACTGTAATCTCATCAGGAGAATTATTTGGCTTGAATATTACAGTGCATATGATGAAATACTGCAACATTGCTCAGCAACTGAGATTCGGACTTTGAGTGGCAATGACATATGAACCCCTGCATGGTTTTCAAGTGTGCTATTTTTGGCAGATGGGTGTTGCCTTGTCTCCTCAATAGCATAGAAAGTTAGTTTAGTGTGTAGAGGAAGGTGATTTGCAATGAGAAGACTCCTCTGACACTACTTGTTTAAGATGGGCTGCTGCTTCAGTAAAGAATTGAGTAACAGCACAGATGAGGAGAAAACCAGCTTGCTACAAAAATCTGTGGAAGAGGAAGCATCAGAGTCAAGGATAAGTAAAACTTTATCTTCAATTTTAGGAACTGTGGAAAGCCAGGATCTGCGAACGGTGGGAAGGACAGTTAACGGGGCAGCTGTGGTAGTCGGCATTGAACGTGTTTGTAGCGATGATTGCGCAGTGTCAGATTCTACATCTGGGCTCCAGGGTAGAAAAGCAAAATACCCGTCATACAGAACCATGGAGAATATTCCCCATGAGAGCTCTAGGAGGGCATATAACAGACCTTTTAGTTTCTTTAATTCCTTTAGTCACCTCCTGAAGGTCTCTGGTACATATGTAAATGTGCAGAAAAGTGAAGAAAAGAAAGAGAGGGTTATTAAAAAAAGAACACCTAAAAAATCTAATAGTAATGACCAGCAAATGAACAATATAGAAAATACTAATAATGAAAATGTAGCTGCAGAAGAGCGTTGCTTGCTTGATCATATTTCTACTTCACATGTACCAGACATCCTAGACAAAGGCTTAGATGGTGAAATTTCCTTAAATAGAAATTTTGTGGAGGGTTATGCAGTTACATGTGACTGTTCAAGGCAGAATGGAACAACTGTAAACGCTGAGGACAGCAGGAGTGATGGCCTACAAAAAGTTTCAAGTTCATATAGAGAGATGTCTCCAACATTTTCCTATCTTGATGTAGACAGCAGACAAAATACAAGAGAGAGAGAGTTTTACAGTATTTGTGTTGTAGATGCTGAAGATCTGAAAGGGGATGAAGAGGTGCCAGCTACTGCACATGAAGAGGCTGTGGCAGACATAGATAACTCAGCTGTTACTGCTGGAGGAATGTGCAGCATGGCACGACCTCTAGACACTGGTCAGGAATTTCCAGTGCAGCAATCGGCACAAGTGGAAGCAAAGTTTAGTTCACAGAAAGAACTGTTTGAGTATAAAAAAGAGGCTATGTCAAACATACAGAAGAAGGAAGCAAAGGAATATTGTAGCATAGACATCCAGTCTTCTTATGATAATTTATTGGCTAACAGGTGTCAGTTGCATAGGTTAAACACTGACAGTACAGTAACAGATGGCACAAGAGCCAAAGTATACGATGAAGTCATCCCTGAGAATCGACAGGAGGAGATATTTGCCATAGGTAATGCTGTCAGTTGGAATGAGTCACTCCATAGAGCTTGTGATTCTGAAAAAATTGTGGATGCTGCTGAAGAGGATGAATGCAGCCTTAATTCAGAAAACACACAACACAGTGAATGTATTTCCAGTGTAATGTTAAATGCTGGAGTATGTAGTTCAGGAAAAATTGAGGGAAGTCATGATTCTGAGACTCTACCACCTGGTATAGTTGTAGGGGAAATAAATAGCAAACAGGTGGCAGAGAACATGAAGAGTAACTTTAAATTATCCTTAGAGTTACGTGAAATCGACAGTGATTCCCTTTTGATGAGTCAACATGTAGAAAAGCTTGCTGAAGAAGGCTGCTTCCTAAAGCCAGAGAGCAAAGTAAAATCAAGTGTGGAAAAGAGACTATTTCAAAGAATGTGTAATGATAGCCAAACGTTTGCACCTGACCCTAGTGAACATCAGGGTGTTTTGGAAGAATTCTTGAAAGATGAAGAGAAGTGTGCAGGTACAGTTTTGTATAGCTGTGAAGCTTTGAATATGACTGAAATGCCCAAAAACTTGGAAGAAAGTTCTGATTTTCAAACTCAAATTAAGGGTTCCACTGAAAACAAGACATCAACTGAAGTAGCAAACCACAGTGGTGTGGAGGAAGATGTTTGTGTGAGTATCACTGAGCCAAGAGGCGATGTGCTTGAGGAAGCTGGTAGCTTGAGCAGAGCTCAGTCATGGGTAAGTGATGGCAATTTGACATCTCATGAATTACATAACAGAAGTGTGGATGAAATGTTCCTAAAGGAAAGCAACCTAGAGTCTCAGATTTCACAAGAGTCGCCAGGGAATAAAAGTAAAGTGTGCAAATGTTCAAATTTGGATAACGAAAACAGTGTCTCTTCTGTTTCTGTGAAACATGAGGATATGAATAAAATGGACATGAACTGTAGACAAGATGAGCATCCGGATATATTTTCCTTCCACACAGTGGAAAATCAGTGGAATGCAGGTGCTGACTCAGCCAAAGTAGCTGGGGATGTAGTAGAATCTGCAAAACAGACAAAATCTGAAGTTCACCTGAATAAGACAATTGATAACAAAGCAGAAAATTTAAAACAGAATTTGGATGCTAACACTGTTGATCATATTAAAAACATCTTGAATTGCAGGAAAGGCTCGACTCGTGAGCAGAATACTTACTCACACTCCACTGTACCTGTAGCATTGGACAATTGTACGTACAAAAATGTAAAGTTGATAGATGACACCGAAAAACTGGAAGATGCCAGTGCTCTCTTCCCTAAAGGCCATAATTGTTCACCTTTGTTGTGTGAAAATTCATATTCTCATGTGTGTAACAAACCAGTGGAAGAGCCTGAGTTATGCCATTGTGCCAGTCCAGAGCCAGCGGTCAGGAACACCCAAGTTTCTTGTGGGCCCTCTACTGAAGTAGATTCAGAAATGTGTGAAAAAAGCGGTTGTGATGTGAACGAATGTAATCTTTGGGGTGGTGAAGTAAAACAGTGTGTCAGCACCCCCTCAAAGGAGGAGAACCTCACTGGTTTCAGTGTGTCAGCTGGCAGTCTAGAGGCTTTTACCTCAGGGAATTTGAAGCAGTCAAAAGCCAAGACTACTGAACTGAAAAACACCAGTGACATATTAATTACGCAAATGGAAGACTTGACCACAAGTTGGGAACAGATGGAGTCAGATCACAAGATTTTCTCAAACAAAGAGCTTGGAGTTTTTGTTGACCCAGAGCAGGTAGACAAATATGCTGCTACTCCTTCCTACGAAATACACTGTGCCCCTGCGAGTGCCGCAGGAGTTCAGCAAGGCAGCGAGCTGTGTGTGTTAGATCTGATGGAAGACGTATCAAGTGACCAAGAGTACTCTTATGAACTGGACAGACAAAATCCTGGAGTTGAAATATGGTCACATTTCATCAATCTTCAAACAGGCAGTGCTGACTGGAGAAATCAACTGTTTTCTGACACTTTTACTGCTGGTAATGGTGAATATCTGATGGGCTTTTTATGGAGTAATACTGTTTCTAACAATACCATGAAGAATGACAGACTATATATAGTTAGTGAAAACTTCCAGAACGAACTTGAAGATTTAACAGGTGCTTCACGTGCACTGGGAAGATACCCTTATCAGCTGCCAGCACCAGAAATGGTTGGTACTTGTGGATGGCAAGATAAAGATGAATTTGTAAGTATGCTGCAGAAGTGATTTGATGTTCAAGCTTAAAGCTGAAGCTAGGAATTGGAATAACTCAAGTCAAATTGTGGTTTCATTAGATAGTTAAATATATTGTATGTTACTTTGTCCTGAAGCTGACCACTCTCTCTATCCTTTGCAAAACTGAGTGCTGCACAGAATGTAGTAGTTCAAAATGTTGCTGACTGGTGATATATTGTTTACTTTTTGTTTTCCTTTTGCGAAAGGTTAACGCTGAGCAGAGTGTCTTGATTTTAGGTTTTCAATTCTAGATGAGCCTGAGATGAACAGTTAAGTATGTGGAAGGGAAACTTTCTAGAGACTGCCAGTAGTGCTCGCTGCCTTCGTCTAGGAGGAAGCATTTGCAGATTTCCTGAAATCTTAAAGTTCTTGCTTGGTAGCAATTAGGAAAGCTTTTACTCACTTCCGGAGATGATCTTCTGAAGTGCTGTATCAAGGAGTGGCTGTGGGAGAAGTGTGGGGAACGAGCTAGACTGGATCTTGGCTAGCTGGGGTAAGAAACAAAGCAAGCCGACCTGCGGCACCTGCTGCTCCTCTGCCTTCCCCTCTGAGCAGAGCCAGTGCTTGGTGTTGTTCTCCGCACCAACTGCCGTGGTGCAGCTGCTCCGACCTTGCCCGGCAGTTGTGGTGCTGGCTCTGGGTTGCACTAGAGACAAAGTTTGCTGTTTCCTGGTGAGAGCTTTCTGTATTAAAAATGGAAACCTGTGGAACTTGCTGTCATCTTCGAATCCTTATTATTCAAGTAGTTAATGTTATGCATTCCACTTATTTAAAAAAGTCTCTTCTCAATCATTCAGAAGATATGTTTAGATGAAGATTCTTTAGATCTTTTTACCTTCTGGAGGTGTTTTCTATGCGCGGTGATAATGACGATCTGAGTGCGTGTGTTTCAGAATAATTAAAACTTCACAGAGTTTTGAAGTGCCTATCTTAAACTCTGTAATGTTCCTAGCACCCTTAAATTCACAAAACAAGGTTTAATCTTTAGTATGTGCTATCATAAGCAATACTCT